GAGTGATCTGAGGGATGCGGCTCCTGCCGGGCGTGCTAGCGTTCAAGGCCGAGCCCTGCCCTTTTGTATCAGGAACCTCCAGCTGGCAGAGGCCTCGGGCTGGGCTTGCTGACTGAATGCACGCATGAGCCCAGACGGCAGGCTGGCCCACCACCTGTCCACAGTACACATCCTGAGAAGAAATGAGCTAGATGGAAAATAAACCCCCAAAAAACCTAAGAAGTTGCCTGTGTCGACCTGGAGTATTGTTCCAGGCGCTTGAGCCATCATTTGCTCCCGCAGGGCCCAATACACCTCTGAAAAAGATGGTGCAGGGTCACATTGAAGGGACAGGTGACAGCTGTGCTTGCAACAAAACTCTAGACACAGAAATGCACCCTCCTCTCCCTGAGCCCACAGGCTCAGCCCAGAGCCCCTCTGCCTCAGGACCTTTGCATACCTTGCACCCCTGCCTAGGAGGGCTTCCACCACCCCTAAACCTTCACTGTCAGGTCCTACTTGGTCTACAGGCCCCCATGAGGACACCTCCCCCCAAGACCACCTGGCCTCTCTGTGTAGACTCAGGGTCACTCCCCGTTCCCTTACTTTGTTCCACTCCCCGTTATGTGTGACTGCTTAGCTCTGGGATTGGGTATTTGGCATCTTTGACCCTGATGGACCCTGTTCTGGCAGGAACCGGGGCTGCTTTATCGTTGGTGCTCGATAAATGTGTGTTGAGTGTAAAAAGCAATCACAGCCATCCTGGGCTGGGGGGCAGGATGTGGGAGCAGGGAGAGCTGCTGGGGGCTGACTGAGGGACAGGAAGCCAGGAGGGGCCGAGGGCATGGAGGCAGTAGCTCTGAGCCGTAGGCACCGGGGAAACACAATGTGGAGTGACAGCACAGAAACGCCCCAGGGCAGTGGCTCTACCCGACTAACACCTGCACAGCTGTGGCTCTGAGCCTGCAACACCCAGACGTGACAGGACAGCGACGACCACCGCTTCCTGGACACCTTCCAAGTGCCAGGCGGCACGCTGACTATTCACACGCTGGACCTCCTTCAACCCCGCCCTCTAACTACCACTGGGGTAGAAAGTGCCAGCCCTGCCGGCGGGAGAGGCCCGGCGGCTTCATACGCGGCAAGGAAGGGGGGCCGGGATGCAACCCCAGGTCTAACTCCAGAGCCCGCGCTGGGCCACTCTGCTATTGAGCCGGCGGCATCTAAGAGTCAACGGGAGAACCTCAGCAAAACCCCGCAGGAGGGACAGAGAGCTCCCTGACCCCACTGTCCCAAGAGGTCTCGGCAACTCACCACGTGCTCCACAGAGGCCCCTTTCCGGAGGATGATGGCATCTGTGAAGTCCGGCCTCTCTGCAAAGGTAGAGGGAGGCAACCACAGTTACGGCCCCAAGCTGCTCTGTGCCCTTCCATTAGGGGACAGAGGCCCTTCCAGCCCCCAGCCTTGGCTCAACCTTCCCCTCACTATTTGGCACACTTGCCCTACAGGTCCTCTTGCAGGGTTCTACAACCTTGACTTTAACATAGAAAATAAAAATAAACCCACATCCAGGAGGGCCGGCAACCCGGTCAGCCATGAGAATAAGTCCAGCCACGTGAAGCATCTGGATGGAACTGGTAAGACATGGCAGCCAGCTGCCAGGGACCGGTCAGAGCTGCTACATCTCCTCCCTTGCCGACAAGGTCAAGGCTGATGCAAAGTGCCAGAACTCAACTGCAGGGTCACAGGGTGTGTGAGGTGTGCAACCAGGGCGGGGAGGGGGGGGGGGGGGGGGGGGGGGACAGAATGAAGGTTCCTGTGTATTCACTGGCCTGACCCAGGGGGCGTGCTCCTGCTCGAGGAGGCTGGGAGGGGGGTTACTGCTGTAGCCAGTGGGGAACCACAGGACAGCCTCTATCCCACTGCCCCTCCCTGCCTCAGCTCCCAAGGAATTCATCAAGACCAGCAGTCCCAGGAAGTGGTCCTCTGTACTGTAAAGGCTCAGCCGAGGTCTCTAGCAGCCTGGGGTAGAGGGCGGTGACAATTCCGAGATGGGAGAAAAGCTGAGATCTGTACGGGACAGGCTGAGCCAGGGGCACAGGGTCCGCACGCAGAGCGTGGCCGCCCTATGGGAGGGTGAGGCTCAGCCTGTTTCCTGGGCCACACGCCGTCTAACTCACGTCCTCTCTTCTTGGTGTAGATGCAGGTCAGGGCCAAGTACTCCCAAAGCATCTCAAGCAAGTAGTCCAGATTCAGCTTCATGCCGCAGCTGCCAGGAAGGAAAGCAGCCGGTCAGAGTAGCCCCATGGGCTCTGTTCTCGACAGTGAGAACTGCTTTCTCACTGTTGCAGGGGACAGCCTCCATCCGGCTGGCCCGGGGAGAGAGGCCGGCGTGGCCCATCTGGGACCCGTGGGGAACTGAGCCTGTAGTTCTGATGGCGGCTCGACACTTCAGCTGCCAGCACCTCCGGCCACCACCACGGTCACGCCCAGCAGAGCTCAGCGGTCTCTCCTGGGGGTCCCGGTGGCATCTGTGGAGGGCACGTGGCATCTCTGAGGGACACAGAGCGCCAGGAGGTGGGGCTTCCCTCCTGACACCTGCTGGAAGGAGAATGCCGAGCACAGCTCAGCCCAGGGGGGGGGTTTGTTGACGGGTGGCTCCTGGCTTGATCGTTTGTAGAGGCATGAGCCTGAGCAGGCACCCTGACCTCCACTGACATGCTGTTGGCATAGCAAATGAAGGTGTGTGAGGAGGTGACCTCATGCCCTGAGAACCGGCACATCCTTGGGCAGCCCCTGAAGGCAGCCTGGGATATAGCGGCAGGAGAGGAACTGAGGCGGTCTTTCAGGAGGGATGCCAGCTCTCCTGTCTTCTGGCGGCACGCTGAGCTGAAGCCCTGGGAGGTCGGGACCCTCACCCATCATTTGCACCAGTCACCCCGCCCCCTTGGCCGCTCAGCATCTGGTTCCCCGTAAGCCCTGCCTCAGTGTGAAGCTACAGAATGCCTTGTGAACGGAAGCCAGAGAGAGCTGAGCCGAACACAGGTCAGGCTTGCTCCAGAAGACACTTGCAAGGACACAAGGATGAACTAAGGTGAACTGGGGTGGCTCAGTCGGTGAGCTCAGCCTCCACTCAGAACCATCACATCCTGTCTCGGGAGTTCGTGGTCTCCAGGCTGCAGCGTGCAGGCTCCTTTGACAGCCTCTAGGAGCCTGTGACTCTTCGGATTGTGTCTCCCTCTCTCTGCCCCTTCCCCGCTCACGCTCTGTCTCTGTCTCACAAAAATGAATAAACGTTAAAAAAAAAAAAAATGAACTACAGTCCCCAGGACCCACGGCTCCAAGGAGGTGGGATTGCCCCCCCACCACCCACCGAGGACTTAACTTCCCTTCCTCTGCCATGCAGAGTAGCACGATCTTCTGGAGGATTAAGAGCAGCTGGCTCACAGCCTAGGGATCTCTTAAAAAAATTTTTTTTTTAATGTTTGTTTATTTTTGGGAGACAGAGAGCACAAGCAGGGGAGAGACAGAGAGAGAGGAAGACGCAGAATCTGAGGTCGGCCTAGGCTCGAGTGCCAGCACAGAATGCCAGAGCAGTGGCTTGAATCACGAACTGTGAGATCATGACCTGAGCTGAAGTCGGACGCTTAACCGACTGAGCCACCCAGGCGCCCCTTGGGATTTCTGAGGTCTGTGGTTAACTACTAAGCTACGAAGCCTGTTAACAATTCTTATCCATTTACCTTGGTGGATGAAATCCTTCTGTTATCTTCACCAGAGCCCATCCCACATCATCCACTCTGCCCAGGCCGATCCAGGGTAGGACCAGGCCAAGGTCAAAGCCGTTACTAAGATGGTCTACTCTGGCCTGGGTGCGTGTGGGGGCTCTGCCTGGCCAACGTGGTGGGGTGGCCTGACGGGCTCACACACACAAGGTGTTGGGACCCTCACCTGATGACCACACTGTTGGGCTTCCGGGCCAGGCGGTCCACTTCTTCCATGGAGATCTGGTCAATTTTGTTATAAACCTGGGATTGAGAAGATGGAGGTGGGTGTCGGGGAAGGAAAAGAATACAGTAGCGCAGGAACCGGGTCCCCAAATGCCACGGCCCTGCCCACAGTGCCTCCCTCCGCGTGCCGGAACACAACAGGGGCAGGGGCCGATGCCAGCGTCCTCCCTCCCCTGCTGCCTCAAGGGTGGGGAAACGGTGCAGGGTCCTGGGACCGCTGTCCCTCCCCAGAAGGGAAGGCTGGGATAGAACCCGGTGTCAAGCTAGGGAGGTCTGCAAAACTCATGCAGCCGCCAGGGAAGAGGGGCAGGGGGGTGAAGGCAGCACCATGCTCTTCTTGCCCCTCGGGGAAGCTTGTCTCCCATCTGGGTCACCCCGGGGCCAGCTCCGCTCCCACATGTGCGCCCTAGGGCCCAGTGCCACTTACATACAAGCAGGGCATGTACACCCGGTTGCCCACGATCACATCGATGAACTCATCCGGGGAGCAGTCTTCTCGGAAGAGCACCTCTGCGTTGAAGATCTCTGAGGGGCTCGGATTAAGGGCCACCTGAGCACCAGCAGCCACCAGCGCCCCCGCAGGAGAGGGGCCCAGATAGCCAGTTAGGAAACACAGTGCCGAAAGGGACCTCGGAGGTCATCTGCTTTGGAGGTTTTACAAGCTTTTGAAGTTTGGGGACTGCCCTCGTTGTTTTTCAAAAGGAGCCACGATACATAAAGTTTCAATCAGTGGTTTCAATCTTCTCCATTAGGCAAGAAGAAAAGTGGACTTGCCAGAATCCCCAAAGCACCTCAGTGGAACCCCAGGCTTCGGTGCCAGGAGCACTGTCTGCAAGCATTGGTCTAACCCAGCTTCCCTCATGCAAAGCTCTCCTCTGGAGGCTTGCATACCTGCAGTGACAGGGGCCTCATCACCCTGCACACAGCCTGTCCCAAGGTGACTTCTTCACATGCTGAGCTGCTCTGCCTCTGGGGCCCTGCCCTGTCCTCCAGCACCCCCGACAAGCAGCCAGGCCCCTGGTTCTTCCTGAGGCTTCCCCAGGCCAGGAACCCCCAGTCCTCGGGCGCTGTTTCCCTCACCATCTCATCTTCCTTCCAGATGTGACTGGCTTCCAGTGCCTAGTACTTGCCAGGGAGTTAGGAAGCCACTGCTGAGTTCACGGCTCTGGCCCAGCCAGCCTGCAGCTTGGTGAGCATGGAGGCAGGGGGGGACAGGAAGTGTCCCATGTCACTACCGCTTTCCTGGCAGTCGCTTGGATGGAGCCGGGGTGGCTTGGGGTGGTCTGTGATCATCCTGGGCCGCAAGGCCTCCCTCCTGTCTCGGGCGGCCCCTCCCCTGCGCTGAGGGCTCTGGGCCCTCCCTTGCTGCTTTTGGGAGGATACTGTACTCATGCAGAATCAGCTGCACCAGCTTCTCCGAGCACTGGGTCAGTGTGACTGTGGAGTTAAAGGAGATGCCACCACCTTTCTTGGGCTGGAGGAGAAAGGAGAGCGGCTCACAAAGGGGCAGCTGCGATCATCCCAAACCCGCCCGTGCCTGGCCTCCTGGGGAGGGGGGCCTCACCTTGAAGTAGATGTTGGGCTTGTGCTTGTTGAGGCGGATACCCACTGATTCCAGTTCCTTTTCCAGCAGAGACCTGGGAAGAACCCCCACGAGCCTTCGCAGGTGTCCAGAGGCAGGCCAAATGGCTTCCCTGTTACACAGGAAGCCCCTGCCCTTCCAGAGGGAGGCCGATGCCCTCCTACCCACCACTGGGAACCCAGAACGTTCCTTCTCAACAACCCAAAGCCGCTGAGGAGCCTCTGGACCTTCTGCCCAGTTCGAGGGAGACTGGCTGGGCCTGCGACTGGCACGCAGAGGCAGGCCTGCTGTGCCCCTTAGCCAGCAGGTCAGGGCATGAATAAGGCTTCTGTTGTTTGGGCCTGGGCTCCCACTGGGTTCTGGGCAGCAACTGAGGCACCTTGGCCTCTGCAGGCAGGAGCCAGAGCCAGCATGGGGCTCACGGGTGACACAGGCTTCAGTCGGTGCAGCGTACCACAGTCCCCAGCCTCCAGACATCTCCGTGCCAGATGTAAGCCACTCAGAGAGGACGCTCCAGGCTGACTGCACGGGTTTAGCCTGTGGACAGTCCTGCTGCTGCTCCCACGTGTGAGAGGCCCAAGCACCCCGTGGATCACCCATCATGATCAGGGACACAGCAGCTGGAGCCACAGTGTCCTACCAGCATGCCCAGGGATCCTCACCGCCCCCCAGACATGTTAGCCTGCCCCACCCCCCACACTCCCCTGCAGACCTCTGCACTTCTCCCTTAGTGGCATCCAGCATCATGATGACGACGTCAGCCGTGCGTGCCACAGCAATCACCTGCCGGCCACGACCTTTCCCTGGACAGGTGGAAGGGACACGGTTACACAGTGACATAGGCACAACCCGTGTGACCCCCCACCCAGGCCACGGAGCCCCAGACTCCTGTCCTCTACAGACCCATCATGGTCTCTGCCATATGCCAGCCCCTGGCTGTGATTTCCTTGCCATTTTTCACTAATCCGTGTGCTGTTTTACTCACGAAGACTTGTTTTAGAAGGTAATCTGACATCACCACCTCAGGAGAAGTAACATTCTCCTCCTGTCCCTACCCTGCAATAGGCCACACGCTAAGCGCTTCGTGAACATTTCCTCACAACCACCCTATATAGTCAGTGTCATCAAGCCCATTTTATAGATGAGAAAACTGAGGCTTGGTTTGGAGCTCATCACTTGCCCAAGATTACAAAGCTAGTGTGCTATCAGGATTTGAACATGTCTGCCCTTTCTGGAAATGGGGCGATATAACCCACCCCCAATCCAAGGGCTGCAGAAAGGATCACATGAGACACCACAGGAAGAGGAACTTTAGGAACTGCCACACAAAGGTCAGACCATGTGGTTATTGCACCACCAGAGAAGTCAAGCGCCTTGCCAAGGTCACAGCACTAGGATCCAGGTAGTGTAGATTTCAACCATGATCTGCCTCCCTCTTTGGAGAATGGGGGGCTGTGTCCAGTGATCTTCACAAGCCAGGGGTCTCCTGTCACTACCAAACGTACTTCCCCCACAGTGGCCAGACCACACCAGGCCCCATGATGCTGCCTGGGACAGCAGGTTCCTGGGGGACCATCACCATTTCCACCAGCCCAATTCAAGTAGGCAGGACTCTGCCCTGATGGGGGCAGTGGGGTACGGAAACGTGCAGAGGAGATGGCAACTGGACCCGTGGGGAGAGGTCCCGCTGCCCAGCCTGGACAGGGTTACTAAACCGGAGAGGTGGGCACCAACCCTGGCCCTGCCACTTGATGGGTGAAGAGCCGTTTAGGGCAGACCCTTTACCTGTCTGTCCCTGCGGTTCCTCCTGGCTATGAAAGGGAAATAATGACACTTCCTAAGTCACAGGACTATGTGAGGATTAAGTGAGCTAATGGTCAGCGCAGAGCCCGGCACTTAGCCAGTGCTGGATAACCATCAGCTGGTTACCGTGTCCGCAATGCTGCAGGAAGCCACCAGAAGCCACAGGCATGTTCCTATCTCAGAAAACAAAGACAAGGGGTGCCTGGGTGGCTCAGTCAGTTGAGTGTCCGGCTCTCAGTTTCGGCTCAGGTCATGATCTCACAATTTCATGGGTTCAAGCCCCATATCGGTCTCTGTGCTGACAGCGCGGAGCCTGCTTGGGATTCTCTGTCTCTCCCTCTCTCTCTGCCCTTCCCCCAGTCACACTGTCTCTGTCTCTCTCAAAATAAATAAATAAACTTAAAAACTTAATAAGTAAAAAAACTTAAAAAAATATTTAAAAAAGCTTAAAAAAATAAACTTAAAAAAAGTTAGTAAATAAACTTAATACATAAACTTAAAAATAAACGTAAAAAAAAAAAAAAACCTTTTCTTAAAAAAAAAAACAAAAAACAAAGACAAAACAAAGGACAGGGCCCCAGGACTAGGAGCACGGCCTGAGCTAGCCAGCTGCTAAGGGGCCAGTCCTTGCAGGGGTCTGTCCAGGGACACACCATGGAAGTGGGAACTCAAACCTGCCAGGTAAGCTACACGACCTTGTACAGGTCCCTTCACCTTGCCGGGCCTCAGTCTCCTCGGCTTTAATACGGGGCCTGCCAGGACCGTATGAGGCCAGAGTCCCTGAAGCACAGGGCATTGAACCCACCCCTACCCGTTGAGCCCTGCAGCCATGTCCAATTTTAACGGTGAGGCCAGTACAGCAAATCCCTACAGAAGAGGACGGGCTGGGGTGCAGAGACCCACCCTGTTTCCCACCCGCCTGTTCCCACTCCCTACCTTGTGCTGCACCTTCAATGATCCCAGGAAGGTCCAGGAGCTGGATATTGGCTCCTTTGTACTAGGATGCAGAGGAGAAGGTAAGGTGAAGAGGGGTGACCGTGGGAAGGGCTTGCCTGAACCCAGGACCCCCACTCTGGCCTGCAGCTCAGGGGTCTGGGAATCCCAGGGCTCAGCCTCGGGGGCCAGGTCCAAGCCTGCTCAGCCTGGCACAGCTCCAGCTCCAGATCCTGCAAGCTGAGGAGCCCCCAGGCACAGACTCTGGAGTTTTTGTAATCCTACCCACCCATCACTGATGGTAACAGCACCTTACAAAAATATCACTTCACCGCGGAGGCTCTGGGCCATAGGACCCCAGCTACCCGAGGCGTTGAAGCTTCACAGAAAACAGAGGGATACAGCCAACCACCACCAAGTGACCCAAGCCGGGGTGGCGCGGGCCAGTGGAGCACAAAGGGGCACCAGCAAGAGCGGCCAGGTGCTGGCCGGACTCCCGGAACCAGTCAGGGTTCCAGGCAGGCATCTCTGGGGTCCCAGCAGCCAGAAATCCTCAGAGGTACCACTGCTTGAGAGCAAAGAAGCTCCGTTCAGAAACCCCCTCCGCCCCCCGCCCCCCCCAGGGACACCTCCACTCATGACTTACAAATATATAATCGCAAACCCAAGCATGTACCCTTTCCCCTTCTGGAATCCAGCACACCTCGACTTACTTCAATGACTCCAGGGATACATGTCAGGGTTGTGAATTCGTAGGACGCAGCTTCGCTGGCTGTGGAGGTCATTAGACTCAAGAAGGTAGACTAGGAGGAAAAAGAGGTCATTGCAGTGAGGAGTCTTGTCCCAGCCTCCTTCGAGAATCCCCACAGGCCAGGAGCCTGCCGGATGCAGGCATCACAGAGACTCCCTCCTCCGCCTCAGGGTGGGGACCTGGGTAGCTAGAAAGAAAACAACAGCTGGAAAGGTCGCCTCTGGCTCTGCCCAGGGCAGGTAGGGCACCAGAAGGACACTCCATTCCTCGGAGGCGTCAAGGCCCATCTCAGGTGGACACAGGGACCTGGTTTCTAAGTGGGATCCCCAACTAAATCAGGGGCCCCTCTCTAGCTCCACCAAACCCTCCAGCCTTTCCTGGGCCCCAGAGAACTTCAAGCAGGCAACAGCCTGTGGCACTCAAAGTGGCTGCTCACCCAGGGAGGGGTGAGATACGCAAGGAGGCAGATGAGGTCTGAGACAGAGCCAGACTGCAGGAGAGGGGGCTGCCAGGCAGGAAGGGTCTTGATGGGAACATTTATGCCACGGTTCACTGTGGGACCAGAGCCATGGCCTGGTGGGGAGTTAGAAATGTGGCTCCCCTGGGCAAGAAACTTCATGCTCTGAGCTTCAGAGTCCTCACGCATAGGCTGGCCATCTGCTCGCTCCCTACCGCATGGGGCCACGTGGGGTTAAAGATGATGAGGCACCCGAGGCGCCAAGCCCCGAGCATGGCGAGACCACGGCGATGGATGCAGTGGCCCAGAGGGCTAGCAAAGCAGTGGGCAGAGCCAGAAGGGGAAGAAAGCCAGCCCTGGCCTCCTGCCCCCATCCTAGTCGCAGGACACCTGGAATAAAAAGTCTGAGACGCAGTTGTGACGGGGCCGCCTGGACCATGCCCCTCGCTGGCAACCGGAATGGCTGGGGGCACATCTCACTCACATATCTTCAGACCTTGAAGGAAACACTGCCCTCGGATCCAGAAACTCTCCACCCTGGGGACCTCTTAGAAACTCGAGGAAAGATAAAAACCCGGTGGGGTAGACAGGTACGGACAGGTGGGGCAGCCCGAGAGCAACGGCTGCCGAGACACTGAGTGATGGCGGCTGGACGCTAACGGAAGGCTCTCTGGCCTCTGCAGTGGGGAGGCTGGGCCCTCCCATGGCTGGAGAGCCCAGATCCCCAACAGGACGGTGGCATCTGGCCACAGGGCAGACCCTCAAGGGCATAGCCCTTGGTAAACAAGGTGGCTTCTCCCAGCCTGGGCTTCTCATCTGGAAAAGAAGTCCTCGGCAGGTTGGAAAGTAAACTCAAAATAAAAGGTGAAAACGGATAGAGTCCATGATAAACACCTGAAGAATTAAAGCCTGAAAATACTTACCTGTCACTCTGTGGGACAGCTATGACCCAACATCTTACTGGTCATGTATAGGCAACACATAAGCATTTGTCCCACCTTTCCAGGAACTTTTTCAGGCTAACCAGACAGCAACACTGATGAGAGAAAGTGCTACTCTCTTGAGGAACATCAGCTAATTAGTGAGGAAGGAAGAAGAGAACTAGAAAGTCGACATCTGCAACCACTAACAAAACTCACAGGCAAGGACAATTCACTGGTGTCAAGGACACCAAGGGGATGTCAACGGGGCCTGACTTCTGCACACTACTGTAGGCACACCTTGCAGGGCACTTTGCAGTCCCCTGGGGGGGGGGGGATGGGGAGGCTAACGCAACTATGCGGAGGGGAAACAGGGTATCCCTCCCCTTAACCCAGTGGTTCTGGAAATGCAACCAGCTATCAGAGGCTTTCCGGCATGGTGCAAAACGAGGTCTACCCCGTCTCCTATGTGGAACCAGGCCCCAAGTCCCAGGTGTCTACCTGACTTCCGGCTCACAGGAAGAACAATGAACAGACGAAAAGGTTAAGGGACACCACAAGGAAGCAAGCAGACAACTGCAGAGCACGGGCTTTCTGTAGGACCACTGTCCGGTCTCTTGAGAGCTAGGGTCTTGACAAAAGGGACTGTTCTAGATTAAAGCAGATGGAGGAATAATACATACAGGGGCCCCATGTGGTCCTAGAACAGACCTCCGTTTGGACGGATCAGCCGCAGGGGTCATTTTGGGGCGAGTGTTGAAATCAGGATATGGTCCAGGCATTAGATGGTTACTATGTTACTGTTAATCTTGTCTAGTGTGATAGATAGTTTGTGGCTCAGCAGGAAACTATCCTTATCCTTTAGAGATAAAGCTTAAATACTGGGGTCAAAGATCACAAAGCATGAGGTCTGTAACCTAGTCTCAAATGGTTCAGTCAAAACAACAAAAGCCCACTCGCACACGCACACAAATACACACAAACACAAGGAGATGGAGCAATATGGCAAACTGGTGGACCCAGATGGCGGGGACACTGCATTTGTTCTTTCATCTCTCCTGCAAGTTTGGAAATTTCTATTACACAAAATTGGGAAAAACGAGAAAGAGACAAAAAGACAGGGATCTGGAAACCACACCAGGACTGAAGACTGTGCGGGTGGCCAGGTGGCAGAGGGCACGGCTGGGGACAGTCCCACCTCTCCAGAGGGGCTCCTGCAGCGCCGGCTCCTCCTGAGGGGCTGAGGCGGGAGGCCCCTGCGCTGCTCGGCGTCCAGTTGAGGAGTCATAAGCACCATCGCTACAGGTTTCTGAGCGCTGGCCAGGTAGCCGCACGCCAAACAGGTGCTCGGGTTTGGCACGAGGCTTGAAAGGGGCAGGCTGGATGGACGCCAAGCGGCCTGGGGGGAGGGGGGTCACAGTGGCTCCCTTCCAGGGCATTCATCACCCTCGGCTACAGCAACCTTCCCATCCTCATCCTACCTGCACGGATGATAACGAAAACGACGTTGTTTCCCGAGCCCGCACAGATGGAGGGCAGGGGGCAGTGCACCCAACTGGGTACTGATAATAAGGTCCAACTGGGGTAAGAGCGTTCCCAAAGGTTAAGAAGCACCTGCCTGTCATAGGGAAGGAACCCTTCTGCAGAACTGGAGGCAGAGATTGGGCCAGCTCACAGCCCAGCGCTGATGCAGCATCACGTGTAGGGGTACGTGAGCAGACACTAGAGACATTCCTACTGTCCCCACATGGCGTTGGCTACAGCTCCTTTGGGGGGTAAATGGCAGTGTGCCGACGGCCATTTCTAAAACCCACATCCTAGAGCTGCTGTGCTCACTTGGCCAAATGCGTCCTCCACAAATACCGGCTCCAGTTCACAAAGATCCACGCACAAGGACAGTGACTACAGCACCGTGTGGGCAAACAAAAGCCTGGGGGTGACCTAGCTACCATGGCAGAGGAGGGAAGGAGCAGACTATTGATGACACTATGACCACAGTGAGGGATTCTAGGCAGCTGTTAAGAGAGGAGGTAACTCCGGGGCGCCTGGGTGGCTCAGTTGCTTAAGCGTCCAACTTTGGCCACTCAGGTCGTGATCTCATGGTTCGCGAGTTCAAGCCCCGCCTCAGGCTCTGTGCTGACAGCTCAGAACCTGGAGCCTGCTTCGGATTCCGTGTCTCCCTCTCTCTCTGCCCCTGCCCTGCTCACACTCTGTCTCTGTCTCTCAAAAAGGGAATAAACGTTAAAAATATATATATATTAAAAAAAAAAGAGAGAGGAGGTAACTCTAATGTATTAATGAGACGGATACCCACGGGGGAGTGAAAATGCCAGGGCCCAATGTAGCCATAATCCCATTTTCAGAGAGAGTGTGTGTGTGTTGTGTGTAGACAGAGCGCAAGATCAATTCCCACCTCCTGTGATACACACACCCATCATATAGGCCAAGGGGAAAACAAAACCAAACCCGTACAAAGCATAGCGCTCAGCCTGTAGTTAGCACTCGGGAAGCGAGAGCTGTTACCAACTTCCCCTGATGCTATTCCACCAGCGTCTGTCCAAGCCACCTGGTCATTGTTCCCTTGGCCTATATCTGAGCTGGGGTCCCTGCTTCCGACCTATTATCTGCGCAACAGCCAGAACGATTCTGCTACAAAGTGAGTTAACACCCAGATCTTGGTTTCTAAACAGCATTCTCAGAAGAAGAAAAGGAACCAGGGCTCCCAGGAAATAACGGCCGATTCTAGGGCTGGGGCAGGGAACATACATGATGAGCCTGAAGTATCTCAGTGGTACCAGAAGGTAAGGAAGTGGTTCAGAGCAGCGTTCCTGAACTCCCTGACATAAACTCCACCCCTGCCCTGCATATTCCTCCACAACAGTCCTCACCAGTCTTCCACTGTTTGCTTACTGTCTTTTCTCCCCTAAGAAGGGGAGCTCCGTGTGGGCAGGGACAGAACTATCTTGTTCCCTATCGTATTACCAGTGCCTCACAGAGCCTGGCACAGGGTGTGCACTCAATAAACGTTTGTGCATGATGGATGGGTCAGAGACTGAGCGGAGACAGGAAACAATGGTCACCAGGCAGGATGATAAAGGGGTGGGACCTGATCCTGGGGGAGGCTGGGTCTTCTTGGTCCCTGGAGCAAATTCAGAAAGGCAGCGCGAGGAGGCGCAGGCAGTCGTGTTCGGAAGACAGGCTGCTTCCTCCCCAAGGCCCACGCTGACCATCACTGACCTTACCCACAGAGGGAAATCCAATCAGCGCCACACGGGCGTCACCCGACTTCATGACATCGAAACCCTCTCCTTTGGATGAGGCCGATTTGGACGGTTCCAGCAGCTGGGCCCGATACTTGGCGAGTTTTGCTTTCAGCAGGCCCAGATGATACTCAGTGGCTGAAGGACGGAAAGCAAGACAGAAGGTAAGTATCCAGGGTATCCAAGCCCCGTGGGTCAGGTGCAACCCCACATACAACCAAACGCTGGCTGGAAACATCAGAACCGGATGGCAATCGTCGAGGAGATCAGCAAAGAAAACACTCCTTGTCTCAAAATGCCGCCTTAGCCTCTCACTTCATTTAGGATACAAGCCAGTGTCCTTATTAAGACCGCATGACCCCATGTCAGCACCAGGGGACAGCACCACCCCCTGGGGTGTGCCGGAGGATGTTTTCTGTGGTCAGTGTGATGGTGAGGTCCCCATCGCCATTTACCAGACAGGGGCCAGGGACGCCAGTGGCCCTACAAAGTGTGAGTCAGTCTGGCACAGCCAAGAATTGTCCCGTGTCCCATAGGATTTTTTTCACAGTCCTAAGACATCTGTGGAGGGAAAACCTGGGTTAGGAGCACCAGGGCCTAGAGCCTCTCTTTCACAAAAAGAAACCCCCAGGACATTTTCTTACAGTGTTAATAAACACTGAAATTTCCAGGAATGCGACTGCTGTGTACGTCAAGGAAAGAGTCTAGCATGTTGTTTCAAACTTTACCCAGAGGTGCTCACCATCTTGGGATCCCAGGCTGCTCACAGTGATGCCTCTTGCAGGGTACCTGAGTCACCAACATAACACACTGCACTGGTGTAGATCGTGACTAAGCCCACATACCCGGTGATTCTGCCCAGAGGTGCAAATATCTCACTTCATTTAACGTCGCTGTACCTTGGCTGTGCCCCAACATTTAAATATTGAAATAAACGCTATTTTAATTATAAATTACTTTCCTTTCGCTCTGCCTTTGTATTAGGATTAGAGCACGATACTGATTTTTCTCAAATTCGGTGTGTACAAAAGTTGCACAGTGATGGGGAGTGGTATTTCACGACAGTAAAGGTGTTACAAAATCTTCACTAGCAAAGTGGGCTGTGGCTTAGTAACCTGGTCCCTCACTACTGCTCCAACATCTCCTTCCACTCTCTTTTACTATATTCCAGCCACAGTGGCTTTCTTTTTGCTTCTTCAGGACATGCTGACACCCTTCGTGCCTCAGGATCTTTGCATTTGCTATCCCTTCCATTTCAACCTTGTCTTCACGGGGCCGGCTCCTTCTCGACATCTGAGGCTCAGTTCGGATGTCACCTCTTCAAAGAGGCCTCCCCTACTCAGCCGGAAGGGGCGGTGGGCAGTGTCCCGCAAAGGTAAGTAACCTGTGCTAGAATCCCACCCTATCATTCCTGGCCATTTAACTTTGGGAAAGTTCCTTAATCTTCTTGTCTATCAGTTTCTCAATTTGCAAAGCGGGGACGTTATCAGTAGTAACCACTCCACTGGATTTCTGTAAGGCTTAAAGCACTAAGAATAATGCCTAGCACCATTAAGCACCCAGGAAAAATCGGTTAGTATCATGATCCACAGTAACCCCTGCCCTTCCTCAGGCCCCTGCTCTGCTTCATGACCCTGGGTATGGCCTTCATGGCTCTTACCACCATTTGAAACTATCTTGTTTCTTTACTTCCCTCACTCAAGTGGGGCAGGATCCCCAGTCTCCCGTGGCGCAGGGCAGGCACTCAGGAAACGCCTAACAAGTGAATGAGTGAATGGATGGCAGGGAGAAGTGGTCAAGAATGGGTTTGGCAACCGTCAGGTTCATCTGGACCTTCCTGTCACCCTAGGTCGTTGAGATTCTAAGCACCTCTTGAAGGGAAGGACTAAGTCTTAATCCTTAAATCACCTTTCCATCCCCTTTTCTACCGCTGACAAAATGGCAGCACGCCTAGCCTCCCTGCTACTTTCCTTGATCCTGTGGAGTATCATCCACAGGGCAGCTGGTGGGAGCTTTTAAAACAGCAATCAGACCATGTCTGTCCCCTGTTTAACACCCTCCACTAGCTCCCGCTGCCCTGAGAACACAATTCAGACTCTTTCCCATGACCTACGGGGCCCTACATGACTGGCCCTTTCCTTTCCCATCACTGCACTCCAGCCCCAGACCTTCAGATCCTCGAACAAGCCAAGTCCGTTCCTGCCTCAGAGATGTTCGTTCCTCTGCTGGGAACAGTCTTGCCCCAGATCTTCGCATGGCTGGTACCTTCTCATTTTGGCCTCAACTCAAAATGTCCCCGCCTCATGGAGGTTTTCTCTGATCATTCACCTTAGCAGGCCCAGCCCCCACCTCCACCCTTGCTGTGTCACCCTGGTCTGCCTTCACAGCATGTATTTTTTGGATGAAACAATCTTATTTATTTGGTTGTTAGTTTACAGACTATCCACTGGAAGGTCAGCTCCAAGAGGGCAAGGATGTGCCTGCTGTGCTGATGGCCTTAACCAGAGTGCCTAGCACACGGTAAGGGCTCTGCTAAGATTTACATCATGAGGGGCACCTGGGTGGCTCAGTTGTTAAGCGTCTGACTCTTGATTTCAGCTCAGGTCATGATCTCAATGTTTGTGAGTTCGAGCCCCTCGTTGGAGTCTATGCTGACAGCGCAGAGCCCGCTTAGAAATCTCTCTCTCCCGCTCTCTCTGCCCCTACCCTGCTCATGCTCTCTGTCTCAAATAAACTTAAAAAAAAAAAAGACTTACATAATGAATGAATGAAAGATGCCCCCAATTTCTCAGCCTCCAGAACTAAATGGAGCCAAGGAAGGACAGATACTGAGATTAGCCATCTAATATCCCCTGCTTCCTGCTCCTGCAACCCCAAAGCAGGACTGGCTAGGCACTGGGCTTCACTCGCCCTGGCCAGTCGTATCCCCCATTACTCCAGATCCTCCTTCTGTTCTAGAATGTTTTAGACCTAGAAGTCCCATGAACACACCACGCTCACCAGGACTCCCATGCTTTTGCCTCCACAGTGCCCCTCACCTGCAGTATCCTCCCCTTAAGCAGCTCAAGCCCCACCTCCTCCTGGAAGCCTTCTTGGGTGTTATCATTTGTTTCTCCCCACTGCTCTTCTCCGGTGAGCTCTTCCAGCCCTTACAATCTGAAGCCTAGATTTGATCCTTCATTATGTGCTACCTCTGTCGGGGGTTTACTCTAAATACTGAGTGCTTCCCATGTGCCTAGTACTTTGCACATGCTATCTAGTTTAACCTAGTTGTGGGCTAAGATGAGACAGGGACAAATGACGACATTGATGCGCAAAGAGGTTAAGTGAGTTTCCAAGCTTTCACGGCAGGTACTGGTGGCGCTGGAGTTCAAATCCAGGTCCGCCAGACTCGAGTCTTGATGGCCTCTGTTCCCGAGGTGCTGGGTGAAGCTGTAAAAGGGGTCCTCCTGGACTTGCCAGCACAAAGCGGGGCGAGCGCCAACTCCCCCAGGCCCGACCACCGGGAGACCCGGGTTTGAACCCAGACCATGCATGCCTCTCTGGGTCAGATGCTGGCTGCGCGCTGGGATTTCTCTACTCGGTCACCTGGTCTGGCACCAAGCAGATCTCACAGGGATCGTTTGCACTTAGACCAGCGCGTTGGGACCCGGATCCTGCCTGGTCCTGCCTGCCTCGGCGCGCTGGGAGACGAGGTCACGTCTCTGGCACTTTTCTGCGGCCTTCGAGCCCGCTTCAGCTCTATCGCTGGAGTTGTTCCCCCATTTTACGGACAGGAAAACTGAGGCGGGCAGAAAGGAAGGCCCCGCCAGGCCGGCCCTCACCCTTGTTCTTCTGCGTCCGAGCGATCTCCTTCTCGATCTCGGAGATCTTCTCCAGGATCCCCATGGTGGCGGCTGAACCGGGCGCACCTACAGAGACGGCAGCGGCACCGGGAATTCCGCCCTCTCGGCGGCGGCCGAACTGCGTGCGCCCGGAAGCGCACGGAGAACAGCGTCCTCGTGCGCCCGGCGCTCCGGGATTCAGAGTCCGTGCGGCCACGTCGAGCGGAGTGCTAGACACAATTGGTTCCGCCCGCTGGGCCGGCGGGGCTGGCCTCCCCACCGTCGCCAACTAAGAACCGGGGCGGGGCCAGGATGGGCTGGGGCGGGGCCGGGGCGGGGCCAGGCCGGGGCGGGGCGGGGCCATTTTGTACTGGGCCAGGCGCGAGCTGGGCGGGATGCGAGCTTGGGAGACAAAGAGGGAATGTTGGGTGAGGAACCCCGAACTTTGGGTTCCAAGCGCACCTGGCTCTGCTGGTGTCAGGAATCGCTGAGGTGAAAGCTTGATGGCTCTTGTTTTGTGTAGAGGTTGAAAGCGGGTCCCCCTTACCACGTTAACGAAATGTTCCAACTTAGCCTTAACCACCTGCCATCAGATGCCTCCTGATGTGGTGCATTATAAAGTAGCACCTCCTACGTGGCATTCTTGCCAAAAAATACCGTATCTGAGTTTAGACACGAGGAACCATCAGACAAATGTAGAACGTGGTACGTTTTGTAAGACAAGTGACCAGGGCTCTTCAAAATTGTCAATGACTAAAGGTGCGGTAGGGAGACTGTTCCAGATAAAAAAGATACTAAATACGATGTGTGGACCTTGCCTAGAATCTGGTTTAACATTTCAAAAGCAGCTATAAAAAGACATTCTTAATCCAATTGAAATTTCGACTTTGGATTGGATATTAGATATTATGGAATCATTGCTACTGTTCATGGGTATGATTATGTAGGAGAATGTCTTTATTCTTTAAAATTTTTCTTAATGTTTATTTTTGAGAGAGAGACAGAGTGCGAGCGGGGAAGGGGCAGAGAGAGGGAGATGCAGAATCTGAAGCAGGCTCCAGGCTCTGAGCTGTCAGTACAGAGTCTGACGTGGAGCTCGAACCCACAAACTGCGAGATTATGACCTGAGCCAAAGTTGGACCCTTAACTGAGCCACCCAGGCGCCCCGAGAATGTCTTTATTCTTTTTTTGTGTGTGTGTGTTTATTTTTGACAGAGAGAGAGAGAGACAGAGCATGAGCAGGGGAGGGGCAGAGAGAGAGGGAGACACAGGCTACGGGCTCTGAGCTGTCAGCACAGAGCCCGACGCGGGGCCCAAACTCACAGACGGCGAGATCATGACCGGAGCTGAAGTCGGACGCTCATCCGACTGAGCCACCCAGGTGCCCCGAGAATGTCTTTATTCTTAACAGATGTACCCAGTGGCATTTAGGGATTGTCTTAGTCTGCTCAGGCTGCCATAACACAATACCACACACTGGGTGGTTTAAACAACAGAATTTATTTTTCTCACAGCTCTGGAGGCTGGAAGTCTGAGATCAGGGAGCCAGTATGGTTGGGTTCTGGTGAGAGCCCTATTCCTGGATTGTAGACAGTCACCTTCTTGCTGTGTCCTTACATGGCCTTTACTAGGTGCGTGCACACAAGGAAAGAAGGGGGAGCTCTCTGGTGTCTGTTCTTATAAGAGCGTGGATCCCATTATGACCTCATCTGACCCTTCCAAAGGATCAGATTCCAAAAGACGAATCTCCAAATACCAACACATCGGGGGGTTAGGGCTTCAACATATGAATTTCGAGGGATACAAACATTCAGTCTACATCAGAGTTAAAGAACATGATGTTTGTACCTTACTTTAAATAGTTCCAAATATGTATACATTTAAAGAAAGGACGCTAAAGTAAATGGGGCCATATGTTAACAGTGTGTAGGTGTGTATTGAATTATTCTTTCAACTTTTCTGTATGTTTTTCATAAAAAGTTGGGGGTGGAAAGTGGGTCCTTGGAAATGACTCTGTGTTCAGATCTGAGCTTCATAACAGCGCGAGCTTGGTTAAATGTCTTAATCCCTCCGAATCTCTTTCTGTATCTTAAAAATGGGAATAACACGGTTGTTATGAAAATGTGCACCGGGCACATTGTTTGCCCCTAAGTTTTTCTTGAATGTCAGGGCCACTGTAAGTGATTTCTCCCCTGTGGGTCTCACATCCTCCTCAGATTCCACCCACATTTATTGAATGTTTATCATGGGCCAGGCTCTAGGCTCGAGGGGGGCTTCTGGGAGGTTTGAGCTTGCAATTCTCACCCACCTTTTACAAAGTGTGATTACTAAGCCATGCAGAGTGCCTGGTCTGGTGGCTCAAGCTATTCAGTAGCAGGGCTGAGATTTGAGAGCAGGGCCTCCAATTCCAAGTCCAGTGACCCCAAGGGAACATAACAAAGTAGACTGTGGTTGAGAATACCTGCGTGTGAGGGTTTGGGTAAGCTTTCAAGAAGGTTCTGTGAAAGCCCTCTGAGACCTAGGGAGGCCCATGCCAACGTGGAGGTCTGTAAGAGCCCTTACCCAGGAGTAGGTCTCCAACACTCCTCCGCCTCCAAATTGGACATGACGTGGCTCACTGGGCTGCTTTTCCAACTATGCTTGTGCCTACAAAGTTTCCATTTGGGGAAACAGAAGTGTTCTGAAATATGACTCACCTTCCAAGAGTCCTGGCATCTCTGCTGTTGTGTCTGCTTCAGTCACAGTCCCCGTGGGCCTCAGTGGCTTCGTAAATTACATGAGACTCATTCCTCCTTCAAGGGTCGAGAGAGATAAGCTGAATATGAAGCATTGTCTAGGTAACTGGCCCTTTCTGTTCAGAAGGTCTGGGTTCTCCAAACCCAAACCTGGGAAGCCTTGTTTGTTCATCTCACTTGAGGAATCTTTGAAACAGAGTTTACAGACTTTCTGGAGACGCTGCTACCGTGACTGTAGAAATATTTTTTTTAATGTTTGTTTTTGAGAGAGAGACAGAGCGTGAGCAGGGGAAGGGCAGAGAGACAGAGGGAGACACAGAATCCGAAACAGGCTCCAGGCTCTGAGCTGTCAGCACAGAGCCCGACAAAGGGCTTGAACTCACAAACTGCGAGATCGTGACCTGAGCTGAAGTCGGACACTTAACCAACTGAGCCACCCAGGCGCCCCTGGAAACATACTTTTTGAATTTTTTAATGTTAATTAAAAAAAAATGTTTAATGTTTTATTTTTGAGAGAGACAGAGACAGACAGAGCATAAATGGGGGAGAGGCAGAGAGACAGAGGGAGACACAGAATCCGCAGCAGGTTCCAGGCTCTGAGCCGTCAGCACAGAGCCCAACGTGGAGCTTGAACCCACGGATCACAAGATCAATACCTGAGCTGAAGTCGGATGCTTAACTGACTGAGTCACCCAGGCGCCCCTTACATTTTTGCTCCAGTCCAGACATTGTCCTGAGGTTCAGAGCCACACATCATCACCCCTTGGAAATCTAACGCATATTTATCTAGACTTAGCGCATCCAAAGCTGACCTTCTGCTCTTCCTCCAGACCTCTTCCACCTGCAGCTGTTGTACCTCAGACTGACCAGTTGGTCCCCAGATTGATTCCCCTGTCCTCCCAAGCAACCAGCTAGGCCACCTTTCCACCCTTGTAGTTGGGTGCGGCCGCTGATTAGGGAAAAGCGATGCCCACCCTTCCAGACCCGGCGCATGGAAGCCTGAAGCTTGATCCTCTGCCTCCCCCGGGACGGTTGCGGAAGGCAGGGGTTAAAGATGGCACAGCCTCGTCCCTGATGACTGGTGATGAGAAGAACCCACACCCACCTTGTGCCAACTGGATTTGGTGGGAACGACCAACAGACGTCCATTAGCTCAAGTCCTGAGAGTTCAGGGTGTCTCTTTCTAGCAGCTGGAATACACAACTGTTCTGTTTTCTTTATTTTTCAAAGTTGACTTATTTATTTATTGAGAGAGAGAGAGAGAGAATGAGCTGGGGAGGGGTAGACAGAGAAGGGGACAGAGGATCCCTGACAGCAGAGAGCCTGATGTGGGACTTGAACTCCCAAGCCGAGCCATGAGATCATGACCTTAGTCGAAGTCGGACGTTTAACTGACTGGGCCACCCAGATGCCCCAACTGTTGTTTTCTTAGATTTATCCCTTTAGCATTACAGGACCCATACTTTTAACTATGTATTTTCCTCTTTTCTTTATTCTTGATGCTCTGGCATTTGTGGCCTTGCTGACTGGCCTTGCTGACTGAGGAGACACCGCCCCTCCCAGGGTCAGCCAATTCTTAAAGATAGCTAAGGGCTCCCCGCTTCCCAGTATGCCATTCATGTGCAAACCACCGATCTCCACCCCAGGCCTCCAGCCACCTCCTAATCAAATGCTCACACACCAAGCCAATATCCCTAGCCCTGATCGCCCCAGAGCCAGGTTCCAGACAACTAAGGACAGCCACATGCCCCAAGGCCCACTGGAATTATTAAAACTAGTCAATTCTAGATTCTTTTTTTATTTTGTTTAATGTTTATTTATTTTTGAGACAGAGAGAGACGGAGCATGAGCGGGGGAGGAGCAGAGAGAGAGGGAGACACAGAATCGGAAGCAAGCTCCAGGCTCTGAGCCATCAGCCCAGAGCCTGACGCGGGGCTGGAACTCACAGACCGCGAGATCGTGACCTGAGCCGAAGTCGGATGCTTAACCGACTGAG